TTCACTTCGATTTAATTTTATATATTACATGTATGTTTAGTATGTTGATAAATCTGGCAACCATTTTGTTACCTTCCGATAACACTAAATATTTACTGTACCTATAAAACGTATGCTCTAAATGATTTATTTTATTTTGTTCACAGACAACAGAAAACTAAAATACCAAAACAGAGACAACTGAAGCCACCTTCAAGGTACTTATTTTAGGGTTTGACCATTAGAAAATAAGAGGGGGTTGAGTGGCTTTGATTTGTGACATCATTCTTGATGATTGGACTACCAAACATGTGAAATATTTGATAAGCTGATTTTTACGTGAATACTGCCATTTACTAAATATTCAAATTTCAATGAGATCCATTTCATCAGAGTGTTGGCAATCGTTTTGGCTTCCCATTATGTGTTTTTGAATATTAGTATTTCAAGCAGATTCACAAATATATCCCTCTGAGTTACTGTGGGCTAATAATTTTAAACAATGGTGTTTTCCAGTATTTCCTACATTTCATGCATATTCAATGCAATCAGTTTTGGAAATGCAATATTTGGGTCACAATCTTTTTGTTAATATATTCTGCGTTTGTCATTTTTATAGGAGATAGAATGTGAATCGTAATCACATACATTGTGTTATTTTTCTTCTCATACGCTGTCACTGGGACCCTATCACAAACATTGCAAAATTAAAACTGTCCCATCGTCGCGCTGTGCATGCTTGGGTAGTGGGTCTCACCAGTCAAAATATTTCCCACCGTGCAATATGTTACTCGTTAGTACCAACACACAAAATGGTGGCGAAAGCTTACCAATGCCTTATTCATGCATGGCCGGTGTCTATCATAACTACGGGTACATGCATTGTTTGTCCTTGCAAGGCATGGGACAAACTCCACATTTGCAGGATCTTGGTTAATCAACATTTTCAATAGATCGCAGTATAAAATCATAGTTTGCTGCCATTTTGAATTAAAAAAAAAATACTGAGGTGCATTATGGGTAACAAAAGGTGTTTGTAAACTCCTAGCATGCACAGCGAAACGACTGGCCCAATTCACAGTACAGTAAATATACCTTGGTTGTAAATGGCCACCAAGATCTTGTTGAGACCAAAACAACCACATTACTTGTCCCTCAAATAGTGTGTTGCAGTCTCTCCCTTTATCATGTCTATTATTCTTAATATTATGATTATATTGATCAATGGACAGTTCAAACACTATAGTGAAGTACTTTATTTTTACTAGGAATTTATTTTACTGAAAAAATGAATCAGTGATCTGTTTTCCAATATTTTACATTCAACTCATCAAAAATCAGTGAAAATAAACTTTATAATAAACAACCACAGTCTATTCAATGAAAATGAATCCTAGTCTAAAATAAAGTGTTTTACAGTATTTGTGTGCTTATCTTGTTTCCAGCCTTGTCAATGCGTTAAAGTCCATTCAGTCATCACAACATACTGAATTACAATTCTCACAATTTATTGTAGTTTTTCTAAATCTGAGTACAAATTACAAATATGTTTCTTTCAGTTTGCAAGATGAGCAGTTATCCCTTGCTAAAGCGATGTCACTGTCACTCACCAAAGACGATCAGAAAGGTGTCAAAAAAGGCAGAAAAAAAGATAATAAGTATGAAGAATTTGAAACAATTTATTTTATTTGTGGAATGACTGATAAATGATCTTTAAAAAATGTTTCAATATTCGTTCTCATCAGAAGATTTACCTTATTTTATGTGAAATATGCGAACATACATGTAGTGGTATGATAATTATTGTATGTCTAGAATATATTTAAATCAACTCTGTATAACAAAAGGCACCGGCACTTAGAAACAAATTATCACAGAAACAATACAAAACTTTCAGTTACCAGTACTAATAGTCATTTATTAATTTTTTTGGTTTTGAGTGATAATTTATTTTTTGAGTGATAATTTAATTTATTTGTCAGTGTCACAAGCATTATACTTCATTTGTACATGTATCAAATTGAAATTTGTCTGAGGCAAATGTCCGCGTGGTAAACATAGTTAAATTTTAATTGAAATTTTTAGAAGTCAATTTTTCTTTGGATGTCTCTGCAATCTTAAACAAAATGAAAAACTGGCAGGCTGTAGTACATTTACCATGAAATTTGTCAAAACTGCTGAATATTTTCTAATTGTGCTGTCTTTGCGTTCCAAAATCCAAACCTGAGGGGTGAACTAAAATTGTTGGGATAATTGATAGTTTAGACTATTCAGAAATTTGATAATTCAGATTTATTAGTTATTATTTATACATTTTATTGTATTATTAAAAAGTTATTTGGACCATTCAGATCATTTCATATAATTTAGTCATTTCATATAATTTAGTAATCACAAAATGTATGGATGAATTTTCTTACTTTTTTAATTCATTTTCAGAGAAGCAACTATACCGAGACTTGTTTTGGTAACTCCGGAAGAAGTTCAGAAAGCTGTAACTGAACGATTGTCTGCCATTATAACTCAGGTAATTTTACACACAATTGTTGTGGGTATCTATATTCTTTGCATAAAACATACTGTGAAAGAGATTTGATTATAGTGTAATGGGAACTGTCTGTTTTGACTTGTTAGAGTGAATTTGAAAATTATGAAGACACGCCTCCTTTGATGAAGAGTAAATTCGCAATGAACAGTGATGCTACGCAGGTAATGTGACTATATCATAATGTACAATTTATCAATGAATTTGCAATGTATTGTGGGTGTTATGCAAATTACTTCTATGGATGCACATTGGAATGCCATAGATTTCATAGAATTGAACTCGTCATAGACAATGATGTGAACAAGCAAGGCTGTGTTACACAAACAATGAGTCAATTACCTGACATTCCAAGAAAAAGTAGTTTGTTCACGTTGTTAAATCAAATCGTGTACAGTATCTTCAAAGTGAATGGCCTAAAAATACTGGAGGCTGAATTCACTACGTTCAATTACCCACCATAGACTATTTTGAACTGTAGGCTTTAATCAGCGATTCTGCCGGTGACTGAGAGATAGAATCTAGGTCAGGGGATGCCCCATGACCCCAAGATTCTCTCTCCCTTACATCACAAACCATGTGACCGAGGCCATATGGCAGCGCCATAGACAGCTTCTTTTTTCTCCGCACCTGCGGGGATGAGGTTTTAGCGGCTCTGCTGGATCGCCTGCCTTTTTTCCTGTCCGGGTTTCTAGCTTGGGTTGTTGCCGCTGCACGGCATCCGACATTGTCGCTGGTAGGATAAGTTTTCTTTGTCATTTTACCCTTGTGTCGTTTTTCCCCTTTGTGTGTAGTATTTTTCACAACAAAAAAATTAAAACCCGGCGCCACTACGTAACCACCTTTTACAACTGTATTTCGTTTTTTCCCTCATGCATGTCGTCTTTTATTTGCAATGTATTTAGCAATGTATGGATGTAATGACAGCACCAGGGCTCGCTGCCGTTTTCCTTTTCGTCTCCTTGCGTTTCGAGTTGACTGTGCAGTGGTTATATTCAGAATTTACCAGCATAGAACCCGCATCCGAGATACTTTGTCGTAGCTGTGTGCGAGGTTTGGGGTTTTTGTGTGAAGGTGTGTGTTTTTCACTTGAGTTCTGAGGCCTGAGATTTTCTTTCAGAGCCATCAAAATTGGAGGGCATCCCCACAGTCTGTTTTTTCAGGTGGTGGTTTATCCGATTTTACCGGCTGCAGCAAGGCTGTGCCCCTGGAGGCTTTCCGCCTGTGGGGCCAGTTGCGGGACCCTTCCTCACACGGCGCCGGGTTTGCCTCTGAGTTGAGGGCTTTAGTTGAGGGACTGATGGGGCAATTGCATCCCTAGCAGGCCGGTAGATCAGACGCAGTCGGAGCGAGCTGTCTCCACTGCGGCCCCTCGGTGGGCAAACAGGAAGAAACACGAAAGCATGTTTGCATTCAAACTCGTCTCTTCCGGGGAACCCCCGTTCCCAGCCGCGGCTCTCCCACTATTTTTGGGGGAGGCTCAGGCTAATTGCACCGAGCCTCGGGCACTGAATGCCAACGGGGTGCTGGCAGCCAAGCCTCTGATCTTGGGGCAGGGCTTTCAGGGCAGGGCACATGTTGACCCCCCCCCCCCCCCCCACTTTTAGCCAGCTAGGGTTCGCCACGCGGTAACGGTAATGAATTTTTCCTTGTGTCCGGTCTCCACTGTGGGTCTTGACCCATAGCGTGGGATGAGACCAAAACTCCCCCAACCGGATCCCAAGGCTCCTTCCCCAGACCCCGGTACCACGAATTTGGCAAACCGGGCAAAGGGGGACAGCCGTGTTCCATGGGCGTTCTTGCCAATCGAAGACGACCCATCCAGCCCTGAGGACAGAGTTGCTTGAGCGCATTATTGTGCGCGCCCAGGACTCTGGAGACCTTGGAGGCAGAACGCACCAGCCTCCTAGACCAGGTGACATTTTTACTGGTGGGCCACCGCACATCTATGTGCGACACCCCCTAGTATCACCTGGCTCTCTTGGCCAGGGCAACAACTGTACTACGACACGCAGCCTTAGACGCATGTGTTTTTGACGACAAGCTGAGTCGGGGTACGTCCCCACCTCAGTGACGCAGACTGGACATCCTTCACCCTCTTTATTCATTGAATGGTGGGTACAGTCTGGGAGCTTCGGAATGCAATGATCCAGAGGGTTCAGATCTAATCCGCTAGCCAGTTGGCCCTGCCAAGGGCAAGCGGAGGGCACCCCAAGCACAGAAAACACAACGCCCTAGGCAGGTATATAGGCGAGTGGCCAGGGCACAACTTAGTGACTACTTCAGGCCTTGGGGAACGAACCTCATGGGGGAAGGGAGCACCCCACTCGCAACGGTTGAACCCATGGCCACATATCCCTGTTGTACACAGATTGCGCCGGTGTAGTCCGGTTTGGAGACAGCAGGTGACCAATCTCTGGACCTTTCCAGGTGGTGACATCCTGTTACGGGATACCGCTGAAATCTCCATTTCCCCCCGTCAGTGTCTCCCCTGTTGGGCACTGCCAGGGGACTCAATCAGATAGGAAGTAGCAGTTTGCTGGGAAAAGGCACCATACACAGGATACATCAGCCGGAACCAAGTCCAGGCTTCTACTCAAATGTGTTCGTAGTACCAAATCTACAAATGGCGGGCGTCCAGTTTCGGACCTAGGCAGACTGAATCAGTACGTGCTCCTCGATCGGTTCCACATGGAGACATCATTCAGGGTTCCCCTCTCCATACACCATTTCGACTGGCTAGCCCCACTAGACTTACATGTAAGCGGGGCCTACCTGTAGATACCAATGCACCCAGCGAGTTGCCATCTCCTTTGAATTGCCCAGCTGGGCCAAGTATTCAAATCCCCCCTCCCCACAGCGCCCTACGTGTTCATCCGAGTGATGAAACAGATAGTGCTGCTGTTTTCACCAGATGTCGGTACACCTCGATCAGTACCCAGACTAGTGGTTACTAACAACCCGGGCAAGGGGTTAATAGCCAAACGTGTCAGGCTAACACGGGATTTACTTCACCAGTTGGTGTCCCTGGGCATGGAGTTTGGACACAGAGGTAAGCTTGGCTTATCAAGCGTGTTGCTTAGCGCTAAGCATCCTAGCCGAATGTCTAGTCAACGTTCCCTCAGTGTCCTTCCGAGAACTAATGCAGATCATCGGGATGATGACCTCAGTTCAAAGGGTCGTTCCCCAGGCCGCACTACGCAGCCGCCCGGTATAACGCTTGTTATAATGCCGAGCTCTCCTATGGGAACTAGATAGGCGGGTTTCGTTCTCGGACCAAGTGAAGGAAGCCCTGCCCTGGTGGTCGTCACTGGCCAACCTCAGACAGGGGGACCCTTGGGCCCGCTCGCCGCAGGTATGACTCTGGTAACAGATGCCTCCCCCAAGTTTGGGGAGCGCATCTTTGGGCCAACAGGCCCAAGGATATGGCTCTCGCATTAGTTTCGGGACTACCATATCAACCGACTCGAACTGAGAGCAGTGTACTTAGCACTTCCACGCTTTTTACCCATAGTTCGAGACCACAGAGTCCTGCTCCCCACAGGCAACGCAGCGGTGGTCTCCTTCAAGAAGGGGGGGACGCATTCCCTGTCGTTGTCAGTCCTAGCGAAGCAAATCCTCCTTTGGTGCCTGGAATACAATGTGGAGCTAACCACACACCACCTTCCAGGGATGAGGAACAGTCTGGCGATGCCCTTTCAGGACGGCTCCGTCTCCAGACCACGGAGTGGCTGATACCCCAGTGGGTAGCCTCCAGGCTGTTTCGGCTGTGGGACGGTTCAAGGTTGGACCGGTTTGCTGCACCCCGGAACGCCCAGCTCCCGACGTACGTAACACTCCTGCTGACTCCAGGAGCCTGGGCCAGGGTCGCTTTGCTAACCCTGTGGACCCACTTAGTTGTGTACGCCTTTGCTCCCTTCCAGCTAGTTCACTAGGCACCGGAGAAAGCTTCAACAGGTGCACACCGGCATATTATCATGGGTCGCACCCAATTGGCCAAGCAAGGCCTAGTTTCCACTTCTGTTGGAAATGCTAGTCGAAACACCAGCAGTGCTTCCGGACTTACCGGACCTACATGTACGTACGGGAACAAGACTAGCCGATTGTCCTATTATTAGGAGACTATTTACTGCTTTCCGGATGCCAAGACCCCGTACAAGGGAGCCGCCCAACTGGGACTCGTCGGCTGTGTTGTCTGCTCTCAGCAGACTGCCCTTTGAGCCTCTCCAATCAGCACCACTCAAATTGTTGACGTGGAAAATAGTCTTCCTACTGGCCCTCGCCTCAGGTAAGCGTCGACCAGAGCTGGGGGCATTGTCCTCCTCAGATGATGTACCGCCGTTATGGACAATCAAGTTGTGCTAAAGACACGAATCAGGTTTCTCGCCTAGAACCGAATCCCAGGACACGATCCTCACCCGATCGTCATCCCCCGGCTGTCAAATTTTGTCTGCCCGGAGGGTCAGTAGGAATTGCTTCTCTACCCGATTCAAGCAAGGAGATGTCACCAAACCGTACTAAGGATTTGGAACGGGGTGCCAGGCACATATCTTTGTGTTATGGCCCAAGCAGGCAGGATTAGCCGGCCTCCCCAACTTCCATAACCAGGTGGTTTACTGCGACTGCATTAGAGGTCTATAATACTTTAACTTCTTCGACACAGAGCTTGCAGAAACACCAAGTATGAGCGCATGAGGTCTGCGCGATTGCTAACTCGCTAGTGCTAGCGTCAGGCGCCTCCCCTCGAGCACACATGGAGGGCAGGCTTCTGGAGAACGCAGAACGTCTTTATCAACTACCACCTAAGAGACACAAATTCATTGAAAAGGGTCTCTCTAGGTTGGGTCCCGTCGTAGCGGGGTCAGTCTTGGTTTGCTGACCCACCCCGAACGACCACTAGGGTCCCTGTGCATAGGCAATAAGTCAGTCCAGCATTTTATGCAGACAGATTTCTCTACCATCAGCACTCCCCTGGAAGCTCCCAGGTCCCGCTTTGCGGCCTATGCCCTCATGCAGAACTGTTTCGGTCTTTTACTTCGAAAGCTTACTGCCCCCCAGAATTGGGTTGGGGTCTAGCTTTCTCGGGCACATCGAACCCTGTCACCGTAGAAGCATTTTGGCTTCTTGCTCCGGGGACAGCACAGGCAAGGTAAGACACCACCCT